TCGGAGAAGGGCTACGCCTTCACCCAGCAGATTGTCGCCTTCGCCTACAGCGACTCGTGGTGGGACTCTATCAAGGCAGCGCTCAGACTGGCCAAGATTTCCCTCTGAATAAAAAAGTTAAACGTGCCCATTGCGTGGGCAAAAAAATGCTCTGCTAGAAGTGGGATTTGAACCCACGCCTCTCTCGAGACCCGAACTTGAGTCGGGCGCCTTAGACCACTCGGCCATCCTAGCACGCAAAGCAGCGAAGAGCAAACCTATGCAATTCGGGATACCATTTTACATATCTAAACCTGTGGCAGGCCAAGCTGGCAACGAGCGCCGAAAAAAATCCGTATTACGGCATTATGCAAGCGGCGTGATCATAGATTGTGTGTCTAAAATATTTAATACTTTGGTGTATTCTGCTAAGCTGCAGTGCAAACCCCCTACTCAGTGCATTTGCTTGTAGTTGTATTTATTTGCTACAAATCTCAAACTATGCATATGAGCTATTGCTGACCAAGACGATTAATTTGCCAGTATAAAGCCAAGTCAGGTGGGCTATTAATTTGAAAATTCTTCTTGCATTCGGAATACAGGCGCGAGTTGTGTAGTTTAGCTAGCAAATCGACTGCATCCTCACAGTTAAGCTGGCTAAACACTACCTGGCTAAGAAATTTACATCCATCAGCTAGACACAGAATACAGGCAATGGTATGACTAATTGATAGTACTTTGTTGTATACCTTCCAGCTGCACAACTGAGATCTAGCTAATGAATACCGGGTCCTCACTTGGGCCAGCAAGTCGACAATATCAGCAAACTCAATGTCAGCCCCAATACCAGCAACTTGGCTAATTAATGTCTGCAGGGTACAAACTTGTTGAAGCAGGGTAATGGTGCTGAGCATGGTCAGCCTAGCAGACTTAATAATGAGTGTGGTAATGTTACTCATAGTAATGTTTTCACTTAATATAGAAACAGTCAACTCTGCCAGACCAAAGTCATCAACAGTCAGTCGTTTAAGTGATTGTGAACTTACCAATAGCCGCAAGAGCACAGGCTTGCTACTTTCTAATTCACTATCATAATTGACCAATCCAACTAATGTTAAAACCTCTAGTTTTCGGGTGGTAAGTGCAGAAAACATACCATACTGGCTTAACATTGCTATAGAACTATCAGTAATAACCAGCCCAAGGCTTACTAGTGCCTTGTAGTTTCCTCTAAACAGCAAATCATCAGAAAAGGGATATTTTGCCATAACTTGCAGGTGTTTTAAAGTAGGGAAGGGCACCACATTCTTTCCAATGGGGGCTACTGGAATAAGTTTCCTGTCATCTAGGCATGTCAGTGAGAGCTTAAAAAGATGGGGGAAAGTTACTGGGCTGCCATCATTTCTGAAAAACAAGTAATCTAACTTATCAGCATGAGATAATGCTATGGTAAGTATTCTTAGGCTGGCTGAATTAGCCTGTAGCAATTGGATAGTGTTGGCAACCTGCCTTTCCCAGAAACAGTGGATATTTGCTAACTGGGTGGAAAAGAGGTTAGCACTTGTTTGGGGTGGCAAGCAGGGCATCTGAATGTATAATTCTGTATTTTCAACATTTTTAAACATCTCATGAGCCAGTCTACACCATGATGACCAGGTTGACTCACCTCTATATTTTGGAACAACAAGGTCAAGTTTAGCATTGCTTATCTGAGGAAGCATTTGTCTTAGAGCTATAGCCATTTGCCAGGCATCCACAGAATAATCTAGCAAATTTAGGATTATAGGGGTATAAAGGTATATCTCTACCACTACACTTTTAGCATTGGCACACCTCCAGTTTTTGTATATGTTGGTCAGCCATGATGATGCACTAGGCAATGTTTTTCTGTCTAGACCAGATATGGTAACCTTCTGGACATAGGGCAGATATGTCTGGGCATAGTCTGCTGGTGGTAAGAAGTCTTCTCCCCCAGCAGATGGCACCCTGGGAGCATCAGCTAGTGCATCAAAATAAAGCCTAGAGTATGATATATACAATGCAACAGCTCTCCAGCTGTGACAGGTGTGGCTTAAGTGCAGCAAAATTGCTCTCTTTGAAGGAGGCTGCTGGATATGGCTAGAATGATAGTGTCTGCACAAGTGATCCACAACCAAGCACATTAATGCATGGGGCAGAGCCTGAAATGTGCAGGCATGCATCATCTAACAAGTAGCAGTGTCTACTATAAAAACCATTGACAGAGGAGAACAGCAGCAAATTTTTGTCTATAGCAAAAGAACAGTCTTCAAAGACTATTCATTCTTTTACAGATGCATTAAATTTAATTCTAAAATTAAGGATAATTATCTTTTAAAGCAGCAATATTGTTGATTAAATTGGAATGTATGTCTGACCTAGCCGTAATAATAATAAAGCAGTAAGTGCTCTCTGGTCTTGTACACATACTACATTATTGGATCTGCAAGCACATAGCTTGGTAGGCTTTCCATTTTTCCATTTTTCCCATACTAATTCTATAGAAAAATGAGCATGTATTTTCCTGTTTGATGGTCCACAGGTTATACACAAAATTAATGCACTTGTTTACACATAGTATGTTTAAAATGGTAGTTAACAGCTTAGGAATTTCCCTAAATATGACAAAATATTATTATTCCAGCTTTAGTGATGGCTATGGTTGTCCACTGATTTACACTAGTTTTGCTCTTTCTTTATTTTGTTGACAGCACCTCGACAGCAACGCACCAAATGTGCAAACTATGTTGGTTGCACATGCTATATAAAATACAGCATATTTGCAGCACCAATTTATCCTCCAAGACAACAAAATCGCAATGCTTGTTGTTGCAATAGCAAGCGTAGGTTTAAATAAGTTTTTAATTTCTGGCTGTCAGCGCGACCGGTTTCGACTGATTTGTCTCGCGCGCCCTACTGGCGCAACTGGATAGCGCGCCAGACTTCTATTACACAGAAATCTGGAGGTTGCGGGTTCGAGTCCCGCGTGGGGTTTTTTATTTACAGTTTTTTGTGGTGAGGAAGGGTTATAATTGGCAATCATCTCTTTTGGAGTAATTTTAAGGATTATATATTTTTTGGGCCATTACTTAAGCAATCTCTGCACCTTAAACTTTGTGCAGCAGGGTACATCACTGATTATACTGTGGAGCTGGCCATAGAATTAGCAAGTTGCAAACAACTACACAGTCACTAGGGGTCTGGAAGTCGGACATGAGCAATGTATTCAGGCTTAAAATATTATAAATGATAGGTCGAGATAGGACGGCATAGCAGAGCACCAGAAAATGCAGCTGTGTTTAAAGACAAAAGTCTTGTACACTGCAGAGAGACCCTACTCTGGCAGGGATTAAATAATAATATTGCAAATGTGCAGCGGGTGACAATGCGGGCATATACAGAGAAACATGCCCACTAATAATTCCACAGCATACTGTTGGTTTTGCTGGCCTTGTCCAGAATTTATAAATGATGGGGGTGCAAGAATAATCCTTACTAGGCAGCGTGTTTTTATAAGTTTTTCATCCTGCGATCAGAGCTGGGGATCACAGGGGGGTATTGCCGACAGCTAGTGTTCGGAAAATTTCAGGCGGTGTTCACGTGACTACAGGTATGCTAGAAGCGGCAGACGCGGCTGTCCTGGCCGGCGGCCCAGACTTGCTGGCGGCCGGCGCCCTGGCCAACAGCGGGGGTGACGCGGATTTGGCAGATGGGGTCGACGTCAAAGGCGACCAGGTCCTCGGAGACCTCGGGATCGGGATCCAGCGACACCAGGTACAGCTGGCCGTCTTCGGTGCCCACACAGATCAGCGGGGTGCCGCCTGTTTGCCGGGAGACCAGCTGGACCGCCGACACGGGAGCCTGGCCGCGTCTGAACTCGGTCTTTTGGTCGCCGTCCAGCCACACGCACACGGAGCCGTCGGCGCGACCGGCGACCAGCAGGGCGGTTTGTGCGTCGTAGGCGACTGCGCGCACGGGCAGATCGCCGATCGAGCCGAACTCGGCTGACACCTGGTGCGAGTCCAGATCGAGCAGGAGCACGCGGCCGTCTTCGCAGGCCACGGCCAGCGTGGACGTGGCCAGGCAGATGGCGTTGACAGGCATTTGCGAGAGCTCGTATGTGCGCAGGCACTCGGCGGCGCCGCAGCTCCACAGACGCACGGAACCGTCCTTGGCGGCAGACAAAACGGTCTTGCCGACGTCGATGATGGCCAGATCGGTGACTGCGGCAGTGTGGCCGACCAGCGTCACGGGGTTGGAGCCGTCGGCGGCGGACCAGATCTTGACACGCATGTCGGAGGCGCCGCTGAGCACGACCTGGCCCGACGGGAAGAAGCGGCAGCAGGTGACGTCGCCCAGGTGGCCGGCCAATTGCACGCGGTGGGTGCCGGCCTCGGTGTCGTACACGTCCAGCGCGCCGTCGTCGCCGCCGGCCACCAGCAGGCCGCCGAGCGGGCTGACGTCGAATGCGCGCACGCCCGAGCCGCGCGCAATGTGCGTGCACGCCACGGTTTGGCGCGGCGCCGAGAACAGCGCCGGCGGGATGTCCAGGGCGGCGCAGGCCAGCCGCAGCTGGCGCGCGCCGACGTACTCGGCGTGCAGCCCGCCGCCGTCAACGTCGAGGCTGACCAGCTGCGCATCGGCGGCGGCGCGGGCCGACGCGCGGACGGTGCGGTGGACCGAGTCGTGGCCGGGGCGGTAGGCCGAAGCCCAGAATTCGTGCGGGCCGTCAACGGCATTGCGCGCATTGGCCACGTCAATTGGCCAGTCGGGCTGGAGAGAAATGAAACCAAAAGAGTGCATTTTTTCTGGAAGAATAGGGTGGAGGAGAAAAAGAAGCAGACTCAGAAGCGGCGTGCGCTGTTGGCAGCGTACTTTTTGTAGGCGACAAACATGCCGCCACAGACACCGGCGACGACCAGAAGCTTGACGACAAAGAGCGCCGAGGAGCCCGAGGACTGCGGGATCACGGCGTCGGGGATGTTGGG